GGAAGCCTTCTGGAAGAAGAATGAGGCGGCGGTGTGCAGTTGCTCAGTTAATGCCTGCGCCTCTCTCTACAGGACAAAATGAAAGGCTCTGAATCCTCGGGGTGGGGGGGTGAAGGCAGGTCATCCGCGCTGACCCCTGACCTAGACCCGCCGAGGCAGCTAGAGGTTGCCCTGAGGCTCCTCACGGTGGCTCCAACTGTCACAAAGTTCCTTCGAGGTCAGAGTGCACAGAGGTCAAAGGTTCTCCAACCAGGCTCCTGCTCGGCTCCCCTAACTGGAAAAAAAGTTGATGGACAGGTTCTCCTCAAGTTTTTCTCCCATTAATGCTGAACTCCCCTGACCTCTTGTATCTGGAGATCAGATCCTAGCATTTGATTTGGCAGGAAAATTACATACTTGGTTCTTTCAAATCTAAGGCTGAGATTTGACTATGATCTGCAAAGACTATCCTGGCAACAGGTGCTTACCCCCCACCCCTCACCGACCCCCAGCCCCCGACTGGATGGAGGAAGAAGCTCTGCCCAGAATTCAGCTTCGCGGCCGCCAACTCCGTGAGCTTGGGCGGGTTACTCCCTCCCTCTGGGCTCAGTTTCCTCATCTGCAGGCGCGGGGAGAGGAGATGATCTGGCCAAGTGGATCGCTGTGACGATTACCTGTGTAATAGATGGGGAAAGGGGAGCAGCGAGTCTACCCTCCCTTTCTCTTTCTTGTCTCCGTTCCTGTCCTTTCCCCATGGACTCTGCACCTTTTCTTCTTGGGCCGCTTCTTTCCAATGCTGCTTAGAACTCCCTCTAGATCAGTGGTTCTCAACCTTCCTAACGCCGCGACCCTTTAATACAGCTCCTCATGTTGTGGTGACCCCCAATTTCATTGTGACAAATTGAACATAATTAAAGCATCGTGATTAATCACAAAACAATATGGAATTAGGTTTGTGTTTTCCGATGGTCTTAGGCGACCCCTGTGAAAGGGTCGTTCGACCCCCAACGGGGTTGTGACCCACAGGTTGAGAACCGCTGCTCTAGAGGGAGGCGAGGTGGGGGTTCACCCAGACCCCCAAACCACCCTCTCTCTAAGGCCTGGAGGATCAGACTCAAGTAGTTTATTTGGGAAGTGGTCTCGGGAGGCCCTGGAAGGAGTGGCGAGCGACACGGAAGGGAAGGAGGCCAGCTCTGGGCATGCTCACGAGGGGGTTATTGCTATGGGCAACTGGGGTTCCCGTCAGCTGGGGACTGCAGGGAGCACCTAGAGGTGTCCCAGCCGAGGGCCTGGCTGCTGCGGCTTCATCTGCCAGCTGCCGTCAGTCACTGGTTGGGGGCTTCTAGGAGGGATGCTAACTCCCCAGCACATCTGTGTGCAAGAGAAGGCGCTGGGGATGGGGAGCTTCCAGGGGCTGTGGGTGGGCACTGAAGCGTCCACTAAAGATGGAGGAAGGGGGGAGAGGAAAATCAGAGAGGCTTGCTGTGAAGTACAGAGCAGGAGCCATGAACAGACTGGGTGCTTCCTGTTTGACTGGGAAGACATAAGAAATCAGGAACGATGTGCAGATAGGTCACTAA